AGAACCAACATAAGACATCTAAAGCAAATGAAGCAATGCTTTTACTATCTAAACTATTAACTCTCGCTCACATACCGATGCTCAAATGAATTATACCACAAATCCTTTCCCTAGCATAGGTCAGTAGTAACACAAGCACACTAATCATTTCCCTCTCTTTTCAACTTCTGACATGTCTAACAAGAGAACATTTCGTATACACATGCAGCACACACGCAAGCACACAGTCCTACACTACGCATATATGTCCATGATTTTCTCATATTAGAATCCTCTGAGATGAGAGCCAGACTTTGTGCTAGGACCACCAACACAGTGTTTCTTTTCAAACCCAATCCACTCAAAACCAGTAAGAGTTTGCACATCTAACACCAAAATCAATCGACAATGCAGCTGCAATTGCCTCGTCTAAGCCTATCGGAACCATCAGTGGAAAGAAATATGCAAAAATGAGTAGAATGAACGCAAACAATGTAATCACACCATGTGTCAAACAACATAAAGTTCAAACTTGCTCCAAAACTATATTCTCAGGACAAAATGTAGTTAAAACCTAGGAATCCTCAGTAGATGGTTGGTTCACACCAACCTTCTCCAACAACTTACTTAAAGATGCGGGTGCACAAACTTGATACTTCACTTTCCCAGAAGGTGAGAGGAATACCTCAGCCAATTCAAGCTTCTCAGGAGTAAGACTTGTGCTGTCCATGGTTTTACTGAGCACCTTCAGTGCTAGCTGAACTCCCTCTTCCCTAGTCATATCATCCTTGTAATCCTGTTTAAGCATCGATTGAGCCGCTTGGTTGTTCGCACCAATCACTGCAGCTTTCCAGCCAGCATAGTTTCCACTAGGGTCACTCATGTAAAGTTGAAAACCAAAATTCTTGTCCCAACCCGCGAACAAAAACTAAACACCAAAGGGCCGGAGACCACCAAACTGTGTGTAGCCCTGCTTAGTATCACAAAGAGATTGAACAAGCTGCTCAACAGGCATTGGTTCTTGGTACGCAAACATATAGCGCTGAGCTTGGACCCGAGCAGTGTTTATCAGGATGTTGGCATCAGACATTATTCCAGCCACAGCACAAGCAACATGGTCATCAATCTTGTACATTTTCTCAGTGGAAGTTGTGGAGTGGAGGAGTTTGGATGTGACTTTCTTCTCACCAACTAAGATAACCCCATCTTTTGACAAAATCCCAATTGCAGTACCCGCATTTCCAATGGCCTCCATTCATACTCAACTTGGTAGAGACGACCCTCAGGGGAAAAGATGGTTGTACGGCTATCATATCTCCTAGACATCTTTGATAATAACTGTGAAGGTTTGTGAAATAATGGTATTAAATTTTATCCTTTTTTTCCTTCTGAGATAAATGGTATTCAATTTATATAAGATGAAACAAGGGAAACCCAGAAATCCAAATATGAACACAGTTAAAAATTCCAACAGCTCAAGGTTTTCTACAATCTATCAAAGCCAAATAGCATAAATTGGGCAGCATACATATGTGAAATACTGAAAAATCACAACTCAGATGCAATAAACATTCAAATCAATAATAATCACAAGACGCAAATTAAAAATGAACTTGGTCGAAATTGAGACAATGTAAGCAGCCCCATCGCGCAAACTAATTGAAATGACAATCATACAAGAATATGGGTCTTGCCCAGTTTCGCTTGCTCTCTCTTGGTTCAGATGCTTGACAAAGTTTACGCCTTTTGCCGCCTACTCGGCTCTCAGCTCCCTATTCTAGTATTCTTCTTCCTCCTCAAGAAATAACCAAGGCTTTGTTTGCTCTGGCATCCGGGGCTCCGAGTAGGGGCTTTTGTAGAAATTGGGTCAAAACTCTGAGGCCGAAAGTATCGGCCTTTTTATACGGGTAGCCCAGACGTTGTTGCTTGCGCAGGTAACCCAATAATATTCAATTGTCCAGGCTCAACTATTTCAGTGGACCGGAGTGTTTTTTAGGTCGAAAGTGGACCGGAGTTAAGTCCAGATATGTGCTTTTAGCAATTTTCTTTTGGAGAAAAAAGAAAGGGATAAAATTAAGGGCTAACATCATTTTACCCCCTCAAGATTTGGGGTCATTCTTGAAATGGGCAACGCGGTTTTAATTTTGTCAATTTACATCCTAATGTTTTAAAATTCGACCAATTTACATGTTCTGTTAATTTGACCGCTTGGCCTTCTGGTAAGTGATGACGTGGCAAATGTGGGGTCCACCTTTTTAGCCTAGGTGTAATAAAATATGTGAAAAATAATATTAAAAAATTCTTTACTTTTTAAGTTAATTAAAATTTTTAAAATCAATTATTTAAAACAAAAAAAGAAAAAAAAATCAACATTCCAACTAGAACCCCCAAGTCGTCACCAACCCCACCACCCAACCCTCTCTTCTCTTTCAAGCCAGATCACCATTGCCTGCAAACAACCCAAACCACCTCATAATCGCCGCCTGCAAACAACCCAGACCACCTCACAACCACTGTCTGCAAACAACCCACTTTCCCTGTTCCCCAACCCATCGCACCCTAGATCTGAAACCATCCATGCCCCAAATCTGAAATCATCACGGACGGAGCCTGCGCAGAGCATGGTGAAGCGGAGTTGCATTGAGAATACGAGTCGACGACGTAGGCGATGTCGGAGATCTTGGAGTAGACGATGGCGAATTGGGAGCATATGTAGGTGGCTGCCTCCGTGGTGTTGGGGCCCAACAGCTGGGCTAGTTGGGTTGAGTAGTATAGGTATGGGAAGGTGGGGACGGGGGTTGGGGAAGATGAGATCGGGGTTGGGGAAGATGGGTGGGGGTAGGGGTAGGGTTTTTTGGGCTTGGTAAAATATAGAAAACCACATGGAAGTTTACCTTTCCGATCACAACCCATTTGTCCTATTTGTCATCTTTCCAAAATTGGTGCACTCGGATCCTATGTTTGTGCACTCTAAACTCCTCAGAAGATCCAAGTAGCCTAGTCAAGTAATAATTTTCATCCAAAACCTTTAACACTTCAAGAAACTAACATCAAACACCTAAACAACATCACCAACTGTTAAAATCTCCCTACTTTGAACAGATGGAGGGCAAGGCCTAATATCCTTCCTTCGGGTTTTCTGGGCTTGGCTTGATTGTTTTTGGTTTTGTTTTTGTTTTTGTTTTTTTTTTGTTATTTTGTTTTTGTTTTTGTTTTAATTCGGGAAGATGGATGGGGCGGGTGATATTGATATTTGTTTTTAAATATTCCTTTTTTTGTTGTAAATAATTGATTTTAATTAACTTAAAAAGTAAAGAATTTTTTAATATTATTTTTTACATATTTTATTACACCTAAGCTAAAAAGGTGAACTCCATATTTGCCACATCATCACTTAACAGAAACCAAATGGCCAAACTAACGGAACATGTAAATTGGTCAAATTTTAAAACATTAAGGCATAAATTGACAAAATTAAAACCGCATGGCCCATTTCAAGGATGACCCCAAATATATAGGGGGGGTAAAATGATGTTAGCCCTAAAATTAATTGGGCTTTAGGCCTTGGAACCTATATTTTATCAATCTCATGAGTGATTAGCAAATATCAATTATTAATATAAACACTATCAAGCCTTAGCCAAGCCAGCCAATCAAGTTATGTTTTGACATCTTTGAGCCTTTACCAATTCCTTTACCTTTCGTTTGGATGAGAGAAAATAACTCAAAATTTAGCCAAAAGCCTGAAATTTAAGAGGAGAAATTGACAATTCCCTTGTTTGGCAACTTAAACGTGGAATTTATTAAATGACGCCTGGAAAAAACCGTGGAAATTGGGACATCAAATTCCTTAGTTTAATTTCCACCAATATAGGCGTTTTTTTCACAATCTCCATGGTGTCATTTACAAAATTCCGTCATTTTCAAAATTCGACATACATAAATCCAAACACTAAAATCTTCAATTGCTAGAAATTGAAATTATAGAAATCTAAATTCCGTCATTTTAAAATTCTATATAATTTTCAATTACTTCATCCAAACGGAGGGTTAAGGATACCTAAAGCCTATTTTCCTTACATACATTTTCTTCTAAGCTTAATTTGTATTGTTGAAGTTTATCTAATAAAAGTATTCTTTTATTAAATATATATATATATATATATATATAAAGAATATAAAGTCCACATCGGAAACTTGACTAAATAAATTACAATTTATAATAAGTGATTCCATTCCTAATAGAACTGAAGCTTTTTGTGACAACACCTCACACCTACTGGCTTTGTAGGTGGTCAAGGTATGAACAATATCGGTGTTGTTATTGGTGGGCCATTGGCCTGCCTCTTTGAAATTTAACATAGTAGTAGAGCGGGGTCCATATCCAGACCTAGAATCCGACCCAGACTCTAACCTATGAATCTTTCGTTGCATACAGACCTAAACCCAAATGATTAACTCTGATGTAGACTTGGTTGCACTTGTGGCCTACTATGTGGTGGTCCCACGTGAGGGGGTGTGTTGAAAAATATAAAGTCCCACATCAGAAACTTGACGAAATAAATTACGACTTATAATACTTGGTTCCACTCCTAATAACAACGAGGTCTTTCGTAATAAAACCCACACCTATTGAATTTTATAAGTGGTTAAGTTAGAGATAATATTGGTGCTGCTAGTGGTGAGCTGCTTGCCTGTCTCTCTTAAATTTAACATATATATCATTTACATAAGAGAAACAATATATTTTTAAATGAAAATTTTGGCCTAAAAAAACCAATATATATAGTTTTCATCTTCCCATTCAATCCTATCCAAGTTGAACTTCTTCCTCTTCTTGTTGTGGTATGTACATCTATATTATTAAAAGTGTATATAAACAATTCAATGTAATAATTATTGTTTAATGAAATGAGAATACAATTTTAGTTTTCTCACATGGTATCACAAGCCCTAGTCTAACGACTTTTCTCTCTCTGCAAATTTTCTTGCGATTTTCTTACTTGCTAAACACCTTTCTTCGATCACTTTCTCTCTCCATTTTCACTTTCTCATGGCTCATTCGACCAATTCTAATGCGGCTCCTCTTCCACTGCTATCTTCTCCCTCTTCCCCTAATTTTTATGTTGATTTGCCATTGTCAAACTCTGTGAGCTCGATGACTGTTCAGAACATCGCTGGTATGGTTCCAATCAAGCTGAAATATGGAAATTATCTACTGTGGAAGAATCTTTTTCTTTTGGTGCTGCGCAAATTCAGGCTTTTTGGTCATATCAATGACGCTGAACCTTCTCCTCCGCGTACCATCGTTTCTTCTTCAAGCGTTGTTGTTGCGAATCCACAATTTGATCTCTGGTATGATTGCGATCAAAGCCTCATGATTTAGCTTATTTTAAATTTCCCTGAGGATCTTCTCTCTCTCTCTCATATTGTGGGTAGATTTGTGGAATCTTCTTGAAAGACGTTTTTCTGATGTCTCCCGAGCCAATATTCATCAATTGCGCCCTTGTCTTCAAAGCATTTCTAAAGGCGACCTCTCTATGGATTCTTATCTTCAATCTGTGAAGGAAATTACTAATGGCTTAGTAACTGCTGGTCAATCGTTGTCGGAATCAGATCTCGTTGTATGTGCTCAATGGTCTCCCTAGATGAATATGACTCTTTCATTACTTCAATTGAGACGAGAATTGAACCTGTTACACTCGATGAATTACATGCTCTTCTACGCAGCTGTAAGACTACGATTCTCAAACGCAAAACTCAATCCACCTCTGCAGTTGCTATTAAGCCTTTTCATGCTTACGCTGCTACATTCTGGTTATTCTCTCCCAAATTTCAGAGGTAGACGTGGTCATGGTCTGTTCCATTCCAATTGTGGTTCTCAATTTCATTCTCGTAGTCATCATTTCACTGGCATCAACAACTCCTCTAGGTGAGGCCTTTTACCTACGCCTTCATCTTCTTTTTCTGGCAACACCTTTAATGGTACCAACTCCATTGGTTTCTTCTACAATTATTCAGGATTCTCTACTGATCACTCAATGACTTGTCAAATTTGTGAGTGCAAGGGTTATTCTGCTCTAACATGTCGCTAGAGGTTGAATCTTTCTTACAGATGCTTAGATCTTGCAACATGGAGGGTTTTCACTTCAAGGCATGTTATTTTTCTTGAGGACCACTCTCCTTTTACTGTCTCTTCTTCCTCCCCACCATCTTCTTCATCCTCCACTTTTAAATTTCCTATTGAGCTTACTTTTCCAATCTTCTTCTCCAACCAGGGAGGTATGTACTTCTTTACCTCTAGTCTCTCCTTCTTCCAACTCACCATAGTTGAACTCCTCTTTGCCTTCACCACCAGCTTCTCCTTTACCATTTTCTTCCAACTCACCACAGTTGAACTCCTCTTCGCCTTCACAGCCTGTTTCTCCTTTACCCTATTTAATTGACTCTTTAATTTCCACTGCTCCACCTCCCCAAAATACTCATTCTATGGTTACACGATCTAAAAATGGCATTACTAAACCAAAAGCTCTTTTTGCCACTCAACATCATATTTCTTCTTCTCTTGATCACTTCCCTCTCTTACCGACCACACCTACTACATATAAATAGGCTGTGAAATCTAAAGTATGGCAAGATGCCATACAAGCTGAAATTGATGCTTTGCTCAAGACCAATACATGGACCTTGGTTTCTCCTTCTTCTTCTCAAAATATTGTTGGCTGCAAATGGGTATATCGAATCAAAGATAAGTTTATGGTTATGTGGAAAGGTATAAGGCTCGACTGGTTATGAAAGGATTTCATCAACAAGAAGGTTTGGACTACAATGAAACCTTTAGTCCAGTG